TTAAAAGAACAAAAGTTAAATCTGCTTGATTTTGTTCACCCGCCAAAAACTCATCTATTAAACACAAATCAATAAATAAGATACTTGTTTACATTGAAAATGCGTCATATGATTAACTTACTCAGTAGTAAAAATTGTTCTTGTTTATAAATTAGCTTAAAATTATATTCAGAGCATGAAGCGTGGATGTGTTCTGGGTTAACTACCTAATGTAACCATTGGTTTTACGTGTATCCAAATAATTGACGATAGCGTATTGATACTTGCAAAACCATGTTTTAAAATTGCAAATTAAACGTATAGACGTTTTTAACAAAAGTCCAATATATTCTAAACGGTGGTTTTAAGAATAAACCTAAATATTTTTATGTGATGTTAGACATATTTGAGAACTTGAAAACGTATTGCGCTTTAAAGATGTATCAATAGTTATTGTATTAGCAACACATTTATTGTGTTTATACACTAGATGAAACCTTAAACGAATTGATAAGAAGGTTCGGGTGGTGTTATCATGTCACTAACCCCTGCACCATTAGCGCCTGCCAATAACCTTGACATTCTTGCGACCCTTGTCTGAAAAAATATCTCCCGTACGACAATGTATGTTTTATTGATGGGATGTGGATAAGAAAACAATAGCTTCCTCGCGTTTTATTGAAAGTATTATAGAACTAATATACTGAACTGTTTGAAACAGACGTCTAATTGTAATGATTAATGAAAGAAACTCAAGATCATAGAGTCATATGCTACCTGTTCATATTTATCTTATTTTATAAATTTATTTAAAAATCAGTTATATCTATTAATAAATATGGTAAAAAAAAAACAATAGACCTAAATATCATATTAATTATTTAAACACAACATTAATGAAATGCTTACATGACAAAGTATTTATACTAAAATAATTACGACATTTCCTATATATATTTATTGTTATTAATTATCTCTCAAATATATTTAATACACGGAAAACATTTGCGTCAAAGCATATACATTAAATTAATACTCAAATATGTATATTCAAGAATACATGTTGGTGTAATGTTTTTTAAATTTTCAGTGGCTATCTAACTTTCTTTTTATATATCTACAGAATATAACACAATAGTTGTGCTATATTAACTTTTGACCAGCTTATATCACCTCGAATGTTGAGCGTTATGATATGTTTATTAAATAAGTTTCAAAAATTATGCTGCCTTATCAAATATTTTCATTGCATCAAGGTTACATGGACTTCATTGATCAATGTGATTATTTATTCGTCTACTCCAATGCAAATAATTATTTAGAAGATAATTGTGTCATTTTTTACCAATTTTATCGTACCTTAACGTGTAATGTGAGAAATGGTCATAATAATTTGTGTTATGCTTTTATATTATTTAGCTAATCAATTCGTTTTAGTTCATAAAAGTAATTGTTATTTATGATAACGACTAACCAATTGAACGCTCATTGATGCTTCTTACCAACACTTAACTCACCCGTTTTGTGTTGTCTGTCATTCAGTTATAAATAAAGGTTGTTAATGTATATGTTCATATACAGGGCGATTATTTATTCCTTTTGCTAGTTATATATGTAATTCCACTTATCTGTTATACAATATTTTTTATATTCATCTCGTATATCCTATAGGGACAGTGGCGCAACTAAGGGAACATCTTCGGGTTCAGCACCCCATAGATCTAAAATCATAGTAGTGGGGTTAGTAGAGGGGTGAATCTCTTTACTACTCCATATTCTAGAAACTATCTGACTATATATCTCAAAATCGCTTCTGTGTAGGAGAGAGTCAACTTTAAAATTTTTTTAAACAGAAAAACACATAATTATAAAATAGAAAATTATGTAATTAAGAAATTGACTGATCGTTAACAATTTTTTGACTAGTATTTCAGATTTTATTAATAATTCTAAATATTGACTAGAGATAATGAGCTGGTGCTATTGATTTTATCAATAGACATTTCACGGACTCACTTCTCTCTCCAATTAAGTATAATAATAATAATAACTTCTGTAATATCGTTGAAAAAGTCGTTATCAATTAGTCTATTTCTTAATTACATCATTTTCTATTTAATAACTAAATAATTATGTACGTGGATATTTGAAAAAATAAAGTTGACATCCTTATAAGATATAAGATGATGAATATAAAAATATTTTATAATAGAAAAAATATTATCATTTTAAAATAAACTGAGCAATTCGTGATAAAATAAGCATTCTTTATATTATTCAAACGTAATATTTAAAAATCAATTTAACCAATCACCAAATTATCAATAAAAATATATTTAAGCACGTTATAATTAAATAAATAACCTTCTTAGTTTTGGTTAAAAAATAAATATGTCATTAAAAATGTATTTATTTGAATGGTGAAAATGTTTTTTTTAATTATAAATGTTGAATCATAACTTTATTTTTAATAGTTCAACGTTTCATTTTTTATAATAATAGTTTAAAAAATAATATAGATAAACTGTTAATATTCATAATTACTTCTGTTTATATTAAAAAGATAATATTAATAATTAAATTTTTCTCCTGTAAGAGTCAATAAACAATAACATACATCAGTCAAAACAAATTACCAATTATTTTCGTAAAGAACAATACCATTCTATGACAAATTTTATAATTCATCTATATCATTGGAAAAATCATCATTTAAAAAATTATTTTGTCATAATTGAAATTACATAATAGTAATGACTAATATTGTTACTCAGCTAGAAATTACGCACTTTTGTAACTTGAAAATTTTCATGAATTTAATTATTTCGCAAACTAAATTTTTGTAAATAACAAGAAAGATAGTAAAATAACTATTTCAGTTTAAATTATCAATTAATATAACATAATAATATAATTTGCATGATTGATTGTATTAATTAATTGAATAATTGTGTGTACTATAAATTTGTCGTTAGGTAAATTTAATTTAAATATTATGTATAATTATTAATGAAATATAATTTATTTTAACTTCAAAAATGCAATTTAGTTAAGTGATTAAAAAATTTCAAATTTACGGAAAATGTATAAAAATAAAGTTGAAATAATTAATCCAGNGTGTACTATAAATTTGTCGTTAGGTAAATTTAATTTAAATATTATGTATAATTATTTATGAAATATAATTTATTTTAACTTCAAAAATGCAATTTAGTTAAGTGATTAAAAAATTTCAAATTTCCGGAAAATGTATAAAAATAAAGTTGAAATAATTAATCCAGATGATGTTATTTTAAAACCTATGCTTTAAGGGTAAAAACAAAATACAATTTGTAATCTTTTGAATAATTATTGAACAAAATCGGTTCAGTAGAAGTTGAGTATGATTAACGACATTTACAAAAAAAATTGTTTATATTAAAATTTAGCAATATGAATACCATTTCGGATTCGCACCGATGCTAAAAATAATGTATCTTATTATTATTGGATTACTATTATTGATAGTAAAATAAGTAGTACAATATTTGCATACAATTTTTATGTATTTTTTTAATGAACTAATTCAGTGCTTACACATAAATACATAGTAATTATATGTATTCAATAAAGATTATATTTTAATTATCAATAAGAAATCAACTGTTCATTTGCTATACTAATAGCGTTATAAATATTTTTAAGTAAGTATTGTAATTTTTCAAAAAAAACTTGCATTTTTGTTACTAAGTTTTTATGAATGAATAATATATGAATTAATATCACTTATAAAAAATCTATTTTCAGATTAATGTTTAAGTAGAGTACATGTGCGTCATAAACATCTGGTTTTTAGACCAAATGTATGTCATAAAGTTGCAACATTTTTATGATTTCAAGCAGCCAAATATTACTTATTAATTATAGATCTTTTTAAGACGATAAAAGTGTCATCTGAATAAAATATTTAGGAGGTTTTATTTAATTTCTACCTTAAAAAAATATATTTCTGCATAGAATTCATAATTTTTAAACTTATTAAAAAGTTTAAAGATTAAAAAAAAATCCAGAGAACGCGTTTGTTTTGCCTAATTGTCGATTGTAATAATAAAAATTAGAATTTTTTCTTTTACAATTCATTCTTATTCAAAAACGTGTTAGTACATATTTTGTTAATAAATGTTTTATTTCTTACTAATTCACAAAAAAAAAAAAACAGTTTTAAGTGTTACATACTTACTAAGGAAGTTTGTTAAGGTGTTGTGTGCAAATTCAGTGTGAGTGATAGGAGAGTGATTTTCAAATAGAAATGCAATACAAGTACAGGACTGTTATATAATATTATTCGATTATGATATAAGTTACCTAAAAATATAACTGTAACGATTGAGCTGACATTATTTTTGCAATTAGCATGTTAGTGGTAACGATAGTTACATTGAAAACATTTGGTTCACCTCAACGTGGTTATAATCACATCTCTATGAAAGTGTAAGTACGCAATCAAACGCGATCCACAATGTCATAACAATAACATATGAATATCGCTTGATTTTAGTAATTTCCCGTCTTGTCTGAACGAATCGTTGCACGGCTAGGGATTATTTTTTGAAGTATTAAAAACGCACCAAAAATGTTTGCCGCATTACACTCCGATGTTGGACATTAATGTATTATTTTTGAAATGGATTGATAATTGGACTGTGTGTTGCTAACACTATAAAATGTCCGTATTAAGCGCATGTATATTTCGAATAACTAATTCGTATCCGTTGAAAATACCCAAAAAGATTGGGTAAAATAAAAACATTAACTAAATAAGCAACAGTAATCCGAAGACCATTGTGGTTTGGAAACGTGTGGAGTTTGTTGTGCCAAGGGGGTAGTTAGGACGTGGGTACAGGTACAATGAGGTAACCACCACATGGAATTATTGCATTGTGTTGCACCGTTCACGAAGATGCCCGACCTCCTCCTGCTACCATACGGTCTGCTGAGTGGTAACACAGTTATACACACTCTTTCTCTCTCGCCGCGCTTTAGTGTAGTAATCGGACGCCGACCGCAGTTGTCGTCGACTAGTACCAATCGCTTCGTCTCACTCGCTCTCCGCAGATTGCGCCGTAGTATTTTTATAATATCACAGCATTGTAATTATATACGTTTATATATTTAAAACCGTCCACCATAGTATCTCGACGGCATGCGGCTCCGTCGCCAGCACGTTACACGCTGCGGCCGCTCCAACTGACAGTCGGTTTGAGTCGTCCGTCAAACCGACCACTGCCGTCCCGCCGCTGTTGATACCCTTGCGCCGGTACAAGTGCGGTTCATAATTTTTTTTGTTAAAATTTTTGATATGAAAAAAAAGTGATCGGTTTATTATTTCGATTCTATTAGAGAAAATTGTGTATTTTTTAATAATTTTCCGAAGTGTGCTCGTCTATACTCGACAAAAGTTCCAGTTTTTTGAGGCCAAGACTTTTAGGTAAATAATTATTAATAAGCATAGAGTTGTATAGAATGCAGTTTTTCTATAATGATTTAGGACGACCGTTTTATAATTTGTGGCTGTACTTGAGCACTTGGGTGTTTTAAACAATATAGTAAGCAAATTCTAAACATTTCTTCAGTTCTTTAATACGTCCTGAGAAATAAATATAAAATCTTAAAATTGTTTTTTCAAAACATTTAATTTTTTTTTTATTAATAGTGCGATAATTATTAGTGATTTTTAATTGTTTTCTTATTAACAACATTCTAAAAGACTGTGAATTGAATGTTGGCGCCAATATTAAAGTTTAACCTTCGTCTAATTATTTAATTATAGTTTTGAATTAACAAAATATTTATTTATTTTTTCACTATTATTTTAAACTTGCTTGTTTTTTACACAAAAAAACATAATGATTTTCACATAAAAATCATTATGACTCGTGAACCCGTTTCACAAGGTAGGTTAAAAATTGATATTGTTTTTTGTAAATGACAACAATATTTTCACGTCACTACTATGGTGGCACTAACTCTAGGTACCCTATTATGTTCGGAGCTGCTTTTGTTTCTCGTGAACGCTGTTTATGTTATTATTACATATTAGACAAGTACGTGGTTGTTAAACTGTTTGAACCTCTATATATATTTATACCGATCATTTCATGATTTGAGCTGTGGTATAAAACCAGAATATTATGTTACATTAATAGTTTTACTGAATAAAGAGAGGGACAAATCATTTTTTAATAGGGAAACGAATTAAATAATTAAAAGTGGTATTGCCCTCGAATTTAATGTTACATGTCTTAAAATAAAAATGTATAAGCGAAATATTTATATACCCATGTCATAATTAACTCTCCTTTATTAGTAAATTATTGCTAAGAGGAAATATTTGTATTCGTAATACGTTACCTTAGAATGAAACGGATCTAATGGAATTTTTTTGAAAAAAAATTGTTTTAAATAAATAAAAAAATGTTCGTATATTTCATCAGAATTGATAAAAAAACACGTTAAAAATATAAGTAGACTGTTTAAATGTTTAAAATGTCCCATAAAACTAATGTAATTGTTTAAATTTTTTTCGTTTGAAACATATTTAAAATACATATTAACCCTAAATGAAATAGTTATTCTTATTGTATAATGAAATAACATAATTAAAAAAAAAAATCCTCATCAATACGATAATTATGTTTCTAAATACGGTCTACTGAAAAATGTTCGATTTTTCGTTTTAACTTTTCCATTTTAAAGCGACGATTACAGGTATTTTTATTGACAGTGTAGATACTATAATTTTTGAAAATATTTATTTTAGAAACATACATGTTAACTGTTTCAATGATATTTTTATCTAAGTTTAAAATTCCAACCGAATGAAGACGTATGTAGTTATTTTTAAGAGACAACCCGTGAAAAAGAAATAAAAAAATTAATCATATAAAATGCGAAAGGGGCATAAAGTCAAATAGAATAGGAGTGGAATGATAACCTCTATTTGGCGTGTTCCTGCGCTCAAATTCATAATGTTATCTTAGTAATTTTTAAATCTTATCAATTGTAACTTTGTCAAACTAAAAGTTTAAATATTGAATGTTTTCTTTTATCAACCGAAAGTTTATAAACATAATTAATCAAAGGAATTTCCATAGCGACACACATTAATAATGATAATCACTACGAAAAATATCATGGGGCAGATCTCTACACGACGTACTTATTTTTGTATTATTATTTTTTAACTATAGCCAACAACAAAAGGATCTTAATTGTTTACCATATTTCAAATCAAACGTACTTTGATCAGTGGGTATCTTTTAGGTTCCCCTGCATATCACTTTTTTCTCCGATCCATTGTAATTGTTTTCATTTGACTTTGACACGATACGCTTTCTCTGATCGCACTCTGAGGTTCATTAAAAATGCTGAATGCCTAATACGAATTCACTGACATGTATTCACATTATATTTACACATACCCTGGGTAGTCGTTAATGTTCGTCATTATCATTTATTGATTTCGCCAAAATCAAGGCGATTACCGATGAAAACTAGCGGCCGCCGTTCCACTTCACTTTCTGCAATTAATGTAACCAAGCAAGCCAAATAAACACTTACATGAGCACGTTCTATTGTTAAAAATTTGAAGAACGCGATACACTTATTAGAGGTTAGCTATTTAACTTTTTTGTACGCTGACAAGGTTTAATTAATACTCCAGTTTTACTTGCAGTGACCAGTAGGAGACTTAAACGCGCAGTTCTGTAGTTTATTACTTTTATAACGCTATTATTATCGTCTCATATAATTCTATGGAAGACTATTACAGAAGAAAAAATTTAAATACCACATAAACCTTTACTAATTATATTTCCCTCAATGTTTAGTGTCCTATAATTTAGCGAATAAAGATTTCACCATACTCGTCCGACTCTATGTAACAGTGCATATATGTTTCGAGTATATTTTATTGATTTATACATTCATTGCAATTGAAAATTACCCTCAAGCTATTTGTAATAGACAATTTTAACACCAGTAATATTTTACCTTGCATATTTTTTATAAACAATTGAATATTTGTTGGCATAATTTTATGGTCAAAATTTATTTCACTAATTAAATATTAACTGTCGTTATTTTATCGAATAATATCCAATGAATGCTCGTCTTGAACCTCGTTACCATCGATATACTTGCTAATATGACCGATCATATTATTTTATACGTCCAAGATACTCATTGTATTCCAACACACAAATTAATTTATTGTCATTCAGTTTATTTAACACAGTTATGCAACGGGAATCAAAGTAATTCAATTATATTTAGTCCTCAAGGTAAATAATTTAAAATAAAACCCAACCCATAAGAGAAGAGACAAAATGAAAAACTATTTTAAGCTTTTTTTTAATTTAAAAGGAAAAATATTTTTAAAATATTATACAATTTTACCACTTTTAATCGTCAGTGGTATATTTAGAAGTTTTGATTGGGTTTAATTAACTTTTAGTGGTTTAAATATCGTAAATTATAATTTTAAGAATATATGAGTTAAGCTTGTAAAATAACATTCTTTACTGTTCAATAGTCAAAATAGTCTAATTATCTCAAAAATTCTAAGTTTAATTGTTTTACGCGAAACTCTCCATTGGGATTTTATACAATCTAGTAATTTGAATTGATCCAATGACTTCAATTTATGTTAAATAAACTCAAATTTCCGTGAAGTTTTATTGGCCATATTAATAAAATTGTCGTCATTGATTAAAAATTGTGATAAAATTATCATTTTGTTAAATTTTTTTTAAATTTTTTTTTGGTAATATATCACCCAAAAGAAAAAAATAATAATAAGCTTTTTATTTTTAAATATTTAATTATTAGCCTTTTTCTTACAAGAAATATCGATAATTTTAGAACAAGCACTTCTCAAATTATAAGTATTTTAATACATTGAGTGAATATAGAACACAAGCGGAATATACAAGGTGATTGACTTATCGTTAACTACCAAATTTCTCTTTAAATAATAATGATTTTGAGAATTTGTTTAAACATTTTATTTATTATTATTATTTATCAATGTATAAGTACTTAAATATTTTTTATGTTCATCCCTTATGAAAAATAAGGGATGGACTTCATTTTTACTCTATTTCTTTTTAATGGGAACATATTCAACTATCTTAAACGTTAGAAAATGGTCTAATTAAGAAAATGATTGATCGATGCTGGTCAACTTTTGAACCAGTATTTTTCAGGAATTATGCATATTTTTTAGTGATGGGAAATATCGAATAATAACTATCGAACTATTCAATAGTCATTCAAAAACTATTCGAATAGTAAAAATATTCGATAGTTCACAATATACTCGAATAGTTTTTAAAATATTTGATAGTTTATGCTAAAAATAAAATATTCGGTGGTATAAAAACAGTTCGAATAATTAATCAATAGTTTAAAATATTTGAAAATGCTCATCACTAATTTTTTTTATTATTAATTATATCCTATTTATGATCTTAGTACCCTGAATAAACAGTTTTAAAACAATCCTATTTAGATCGTTAGTGTTATTAAAACAGCAAAACTATAAATACAAAAGAGCAGGTAATACTAGACTAAGAACAGTATACAAGGTATTAAGTGTAAAATAAGACTTAAGTATTTACGAATACTTCTGTTGCGCATAGAACAAACTTTTCCAATAAAACTGAATATATATCATTAGTCATCGGAAAAAAGAACTGCTTTTTAATTTTCAACCCATATTTATCAGTTTTTACCAACGACTCACAAACTAAAAATAAATAAAATGGTACTTTTTACTGTTATTAATTGTATAATAATTTATTTTAAGTATTCGTTAATTATCTTCTTATTATAATTAATTGTACTTAATAAAAATTTTAATTAGAACTAATCGAATATTTTTTGAAACCATTCGCTAGCCCATTCGAATATATTTTAAAACTATTCGATAGTTTATGCTAAAAACACACTATTCGGTTGTGCAAAAACAATTCGAATAGTTATTCGATAGTTTTAAAAAACTATCGAATACTATTCGATAGTTAAAAATATTCGAAAATGCCCATCACTATTATTATTTTTATAACTAGGTTGGAGGCGTAGCGCGACAGAGAAATGCATGATACGTTATCAACCCATCAAAATATTTTGTTAGAAAATTTCTAAATAAATAACTATTTCAATGTTTTAAAAAAATAAAAAATCTTTCAATTATTTTTTATTACAAGAAAAAATTATCTCTTTAGGTAACAATTATAAAAAAAATGACAATTGTATCAAGTTTTATGAAAAATTGTTTGTTACACTTGAGACACTTTTTATATTCTGAGTACTCCAATTTTCTGTGAACAATACTAATTATTTCTGCATGATTATAGTTTATTATAATAGCACTTGGTTAAAAATGACATTCATAGAAAATGAAAATTGATATATCCTTTCATATCT